TCTTTGGACTGTCATAGCTGAAATTTCTCTCTCACGTGCGAAACGTCTTCTGGATTGAATTGGGTATTTTTTTAAGCTGAAATAATAATCCCTCTTACAAATAATAATCCTTATTCAGTTTTCCTCTCTACTGTTCCCTCTGTTTTAAACTTATTCAATGTTCCATGAATAGTTTTTGAATAGATCTGAAGATGGAAGCCAGGTTATGTATGTTGGTACCATTATTGAAGGCCTGAATGGTATTTTACCTCTTACCATTGCTCAGTTGCGAAGACAATGGGGCTGACACAAAACGATCTTTATCTGTTCTATTTCGAGCTGAATCAATGAAAGGGTTTTTCAGTAAATCATACGAAAATCGTGTCAAGATTTTTAAACCACTTATCTGAAAACCTGAAAAAAAAAGAAACTCAACTAGTTCAGTGATTTCTTTTAGATATTAAAAATTTGTGGGGTGGACAATTATGCTATTACTTGTTGAAAACACAACTATACTTAAACATGAAAACAATAAAAAAAAACTAAAAATTCTTGAAGCTATATACATAAAACAGTTGAAACCTAACCTGAACAAAATAAAATATGAAATCTCCACAAATATTCTTAAATGCCTATAATTGATAACAGAATCCATTGGTATATACCAACGGCTTCCCATACTTAAAACTTCTCGTTTCCACTCTCGCGTGGTCATGTGTGACGTCACGAGCTGCGGCGCGATTTTCGCATCCGCGTCGCGTATACACGAGTTTGAAATTTTCCATGCAACAAAAACAGACTATCATGATTGTTTCGTCCGTGTGCAGCTTGATAGAATGAAATGTAATTGTCATCTTTGATAATGGCTTAAAAGCTTAGATTGGATTTAAACATCATTATGGTGATTTCTTTTCGTCTTTCAATGATGATGTTATTAAACTTATCAGACAATATGAAAGAAACTTACTTAAAAAATATAGACAAAACTTGTCTATATTATTTAATGAAACATGTATCAATGAAAAATCTAAATATTCACAATATATATATATATATATATATATATATATATATATATATATATATGTTTCTTTCAAAAGCCATTTTCAAGTATGAATTTCATTTTAGTTTAACTGAATATATCCATTGCTTTATGAATGTATTTGAAGACACTCTTTGTACAGTTTTTGTCCTAAGAAGAAAAACAAATTATACAAACACATGAGAAATTATATAAGAACTCAACCACTACAACTTGTCATATGTTGTCAGCGAAAATTCCATAACAGACGGATTGCTGCCCAAATGCTCAATATATATATATATATATATATATATATATATATATATATATATATATATATGTGTGTGTGTGTGTGTGTGTGTGTGTGTGTGTGTGCAGTCCCCGACTTTGTCTTTCTATGCTGCTTTATGTGTCTGCTTGGCTGTAGCATTTTCTTCGTTTCTGCTCATCTATCTGTAAACTCGCACGCACGCACACTCTTACACCCTTATATATGGACATATTATTTTGTCCCGATATCTGTATCTAGCAAATTTTGTTCTGCTCACACAAACACAAGCATAGAGACAAATGTTGAAGAATTGTTAAATAATCTCTAAATGATGAATTATTTGATTCTCCTTTCTCAATAACATTGAATTCTGTATTCTTTTTTAACAGCTCCCTTGACTCCCCATAACCCTAGAATTTTGGAAAAATCCGAAAATTCTGTAACTGTTGAGCTGAAACCCAGAAAAGACAAAGACGTCAGGTAAGTCAAAATCTCAACATATTTAATTCTAATGCAAATTTTTTTCCCTTTTTTCTCACAAATAGCGTGTATGATATTTAGTAAGCTGAATTCTTATCATAGTTTTTAGGGTACGTAATAAAATTCAAGGTAAGCTGGATTAATGTATAGCTGCTCGGAGTGAGGAATCAGAGAGCCAAGTTTGAATTTCAGTCGAATCCATTACATTCACTTATGTGCTAATTCCCTTGTGAAAGGTATGAATCCTATTCTTCTCCCGCAGCTACGGGGTAATAGCAGGTCAGACCGGGTTCTATAGCCTTGGATTGTAAATGGTCTACCGAAGAAAGAAATGACAACCTACTGCGGGAAAAAATAAATTTGCCACCTCGTTTGTGTATCGAAAGATACATGATCGCCAAAGCGTGCTTCACGCATGGCGCATAACTGACTGAATCAAATTGCACGACTGAACACGTTTTCGGAACATTTGACTCCTGATGACTCCTAATTTTGTTATCCAGTTGAGTGCGTGTTTACAATGAGAGATTTTAATATTATGTAGGAAATAGGATAGTTGTTCAATTTTATGTATTTAGTTAAATTTATTTTTAGGTGTACCCCACAAACACACACACGGCCAGACATAAGCAGAAACAGTTCCCTGAGTGTAGTTCAGACACCTGGTCGAAGCACGGTAGATTTTCCAAGGACGGAAATGAACGGAGAGACGCGCGAAATTTAAATTCCCTATATTTTCAGGATAGCTCACGGTCTCCTTACTCAGTCCCAGAAAAAGGCTAATCGAGTCAGCCGGCAATTGGTCGAAAAAAGACGACAAATTAGGCCGAACGGCAAGGTTTACTGATAGCAGTAGGGTGGAAGATGCAGTTAATACAAAAGTCGAGATGCTTTCAAAAGAAGAAAGTTACATCAAAATGATAATGCTAAATCAGGTGTTTAATATGAATGTAAGTGAGATTAGTAGGAAGTTAAAATTATTAGGATAAAGAGGAAAAGTTATAATTGACCTTTGAGTTAATGATTGTAGTTTTCAGGAAAGCACACATGCGAAAATTACTTGCACAAAGTAGCAATTTTTGAGTAAAAAAATCTATTTGAGTAGAAAATTCTTTTTACTTTTAGATTGTATGAGGAAATGCTAATTTGTCTCCTAGGAAATGGCATGACATGTCCTGGAAGTAAATGTCAGAATGGCATACCTAAATAATAGTGCTAGTCTGAACATCTCCCATGAATTTGTGAGGAAGTTTCTAAAAGCTTTCAAAGTTAGGCCTGATGGAAAGAATCTGGAAATCTTTAAATATGTCTCCACAAAACTGCGTGAACTGGCATCGACTCTATCAAGGCTGTAGTGCTAGGATTGGACATCTCTGGCCCAGATATGACAAAAAAGGTATATTTTCATGTTTTATCTTCTAAAACGATATAGTAGGACATAATGTGTCGGAACATCGCTGAGCTTACTGGCCACGGACAAAGACGGTAAACGACTGCTCAAAATTTCGCTTACTTCTTCATCTGTGGTCCGATGTTTCTCTGTTTCTTTCAGTGTATCAAGAAAAATAGAAAAAGCGGGAAAATCTCGAAAATTAGAACAAAATATAGCTTCTGCTTCAATATTGCACGACATCGATATTTTTTTTTTTTTTTTTTACCAAATGTATGTTTCACTTGAAAAGCAGATTTTATCTTCCATTTTTTGGTTCGTGCCTGCCTTCGATAACATTACTTAATGAACCCCGTAATTAAGGGCTCCAACTAATCCTAGTAATTTTTTTTTTTTTGAAGATCTTCAAAGAGACATTTACAATCTTCAGGGACTGCCTTGTCAATAAGAAGGCGCATTTTGTCTTTTTTTTTTTAATCTCTAATCACGATGTCTGTGCGATTAGATTTGATTGTTCTGCCTATGTGTATAGTAAATTCCCATAACATTGTTACTGGTCCTATCTCCTTAACCGGGTCTGAGTTGCGTTCATACCGATTTCTTGCAGTTTCTTTTTCGTAAAATTTGCATATTTTTCAATGCAGGTTTTGGCACACTCTGTCATGCCGTGATTTATATTCAGTGGGTGCAAATACCGTGCAACCTGATACAAGATTGTCAATTGTTTTTGGATACTTATCACATCATCTGCGTTTTGGGCTAACGTAGTTTTTTTTAAGTATATGTGTTTAGTAATTTCTATTTAACAGGCATTGGTTCTGTCCAGCAAGAATAAAACCTTTGGTTTCAGCTTTTAACCTTGAACTTCGTAGCCACTGATGGGCACGGGGTTCGTCTACATCAGCTTGATTGTTACGGGCAGAGTATTGGCTATAAAGTGGTTTATATCGCCATCGTTCCTGTATCGGGATTATTATTATTATTATTATTTCTTCGTTTGATTTTTTTATATGCACATTTCCTTCCGGGTTCAAAGCATCATTACAAAATTGTTCAGTGGAAAATGTCATGATGCCATTTCTGACTTTGTCGCTAGTTGGGACCCGCAAGGAAATATCTGTACGACAAAAATCAAAGGAAATAATAATAATAATAATAATAATAATAATAATAATAATAATAATAATAATAATAATTATTATTATTATTATTATTATTATTATTATTATTTGAGATTAAAAAAATAAATATACCAATAAATGACTAAATATTTTAGTTAAAAGATTTGCCGAATGAACTAAATGAACTAATGAACCAATTCATCGGCCCGGAATGCATTTGCTGGGGATCATACATGCCAGCTGCGAACGCTGTTACGTTTGTTAGCCATATTCATTGTACGATAAAAGCGGTCAACACATTTAAATGTTATACTTACTCGTTGCTCACAATATTTCACTACATCGCATCTAAGAAAGAATTTAATATCCGCAAAGATTCAAGAGGCTTATTCTTCTGGCACCCCATTACCTCGATGCTATCTTTGAAAATTAAGACATTCAAATTATTTTTGTGAACTTCCGGTATGTATTTTCAAATGCATACACACAGAAACACTACAAATCATAGATGTTCAGTGGAAGAGAAAGTTGTGTATTTAAAACTTGAAATAGTGATCTCTGTCCGAACTTTGTTAAAATCAGAATGTTTATCTTTCAAGCATTTTCATTTGGAATTTTGTTGCGAGATTATCTTTCGCTTATTTCAATATCCGTCTACAGGAAAAAAATCGAAGAAGTTAAATTTGCATTTTTACTTTAAAATGAGCATAACTTTCAGCTCATACAAATATTGGTTGCAACTTTAGATTCCAACAACTGAATTACGTTAATAAATTTTATTAAGCTCATTAAATATTCAAAATGGCTGTGTCAGAATTAATTCAAATTCGGAATTTCAAATTATAATTCGTTTCCATTTCATCGGTTTAACTTGACACGAATGAATTTTTCTGGATTTGACAGTAGATATTCTCAGTTACAAATATAAGATCGGAGCATTATATTGTCTTTCTTTGCGAAATAGTTTATTCAAAATTTAAAATAAAAAAAATTAAAAATGCATGCAAAATCAGTTAAAGGCAAGTCTCTTTGAAATTCTAAACATCACATTGAGAAATCAATCAGAATTTCAATTTTTCACCTCATTTCTACATTCAATGCAGTGGTTGTTCGTTAATTAGCTGTCCGTTAATAGTTAGAAAATCAGAAGCATAAGCTGGGTAAAGGATTTATTCTGTCGGAAAGATTCCCAACATGAAAAGTAAAGTTCCTTTTTTTCAAATATTTGCACCCATTTTTAGTGCCTTTTAATAAATTTGAAAATGACTCTAAATATAACTATATTTTGAGTTCTATCTTTCAATTCAAAGCTGTAAAAACGGGCATGCTACTTCAAGATGTAGGTAATGTCTTTTAACTTACATCTGAAAATTACCATGTATTTTGGGTCAAGATAGTGGCATGGTTTCCTCTAGCCCAGTGGTAATAAAAGTGGAATTATTTGAAGCTTATTTTTTATTACCTTTTATAAATTTAGACTGTTCTCGTTCGGCCGCCCCAGATCAAATAAAGGGTTCGGTTTGGAAGTAGTTACACGGAGCTAAATAATACTGATGAAGGTCGGAGGTTACAACAGTCGAAACGTTGTGATAAAAAATTTGGCGACAATAGTCAGCATGTAAATGGTATAAATAATGATCCCAGGAAATCAGACCGATTTTTATAATTATTTTCTTGTTTATATTATATTGATATTTTATTATTTCTCTACTTTGCAGTTTTTATCGACTGATCGTGGAGAAGATCAATGACGGCTACAGATCGAAGAGATCGTTGCCGCCAAATATTGCTGACGTCACTGCCGATTATTATTCAGCTCTTAATTCCCCGGATGGATGTTATGTCACGGCTCAATTTCCGCCGGGAAACGTGCGAAGCCCGTTCGTGATAGGAGACAATCACACTTATAGTAACTATTATAACGGACCCTTATTACCTGACCATGTCTACAACATTTGGTTTGGAGCATTTTCTACTGTCGACGGGGTAAGTAACACTGATTTTTTTTTTTTTAATATGTGTTGTACTTAATTACATGTAAATGTAGTCATGTTAAAAAAAAAATCGGGAGAAACTTATTTCAATCTGGAAGAAAATGTCTCTCTGCAAAACCGATAAATTGATGGAACATTAATGAAGGATACAGACACGCAAAAAAAAAATAAAAATAAAAAAATAAAAAATAAAAAAAACAAAACGAAGACGAATTGGGAAATAAATAATTGTTGAGAAAGTATAATAACACATGCTAGAGCCTGGCGGCCGATTTCTACTCTGATCTAGCTCTAACATCTCAGTGAGTTAAAAAAAAAAAAGGGCTGGTCAGTGGCCTTGAATTATTTGTCTATCGCGATCACTCAATGATTCCCCGTCTGTTGAACGTCTAGTGGAACTTGTACATACGATCTATTGCAAAAGATTCTGTGAAAATGATTCGTTCTTTTAACTCTCCATTAAGTAACTGGCTCATCCTGCAGAAAATCGAGTACTGCTGTCATATCTTGTCTGGAATTAAACCGTTTTCACTTTCCAGTGTTGATAGTGTTTAAAAGAGTATACATGTTATTGTGGGTGATGTATTATTTTCTAGCATAAAAAAAACATCACTCCCACAGAGGAAACCTTGAAGGCTTCACGCTTACTCCATCACTATTTCCATTAAAAATGTTCAGATGCGTTACATTCCTTATTTCCATTAATTATAACCCTCAAAGCTGAGACCCGTCATGCAAACCTACACTGAATCGAACCATTTTTATTCTGTTCGTATTGCATTAGTAATAAGTACACTCACTTTCTCACAGACGAGCCGTCGCCTCTCTCTGTCTGTTTTACAATTACGTTCATGGCAATTGCTCCGAGGAGCTGCATTCGCTGGTTCCCAGACTTCATGCGTTCAAGCGCCCTACGAGGCTGGCATCCCGCTCTCACGTCTTCACTGTCGAAACTCTTAAATGTAACAGTCTGTTCTACTCCAATAGCTTCGTGTCTCGCACATCTCGCCTGTGGAACTTCCTTCCTTATTCCAGTTTCCCTGAGTGCTATAATCTCCAGGTATTCAAATGTAATGTCAATCGAAATCTCCAGTTGCCTTGATCTATCCACTACCCTCCTCCTCATCCTTTCTTCTATCACTCCTATTTGACCTTGCTCCAAATTTTCTGTAACCCCTTGAGTCCTAGTGGCTACCGGCCTTGCTTGGGGTGAAACGCTTAAAAAAAAAAAAGTAAGAACCAATCGAACAGCCTATTTCCACAATAAACTACATCCGGGAGCAAGATTTCTGATCGGAAGATTCATGGTTTAAAGAGCTTGGAACCACCTCTTAATTGCCATTGTTCCCAGGTCCACCCTCACCTGGATTGGGAGTACCTGTTAGGGTCACAGCTATGCGCAAATAGTAAAACAATCACACAAAATTCTATGAAAGTATAAAAATATATTTTATGGTAAAACAACAGCAATACCTCTTTTTATAAAAAAATAAATTAACAACTATACATATTTATAGTAAAACTGTCAACAATACACAGATACTAACAAATTGTAGCAACTTCACCCAAATCCATTTAAAATATTACCAAACAACCAACCAACGTAAGAACACATTCATGACATTAATCCATATAATTTCCTACAATTTCTTAAATCGAACAGTATTCTGAAATATAACTTCAACAAAATCACAACATAAAACACATATCACCGCGTCTAGTAATCATGTCCAGATAAACATGCATATGCATAAATGCTGAGTCTTATCTATCATGCATTCTATTTTGAAAACAGAATAACATATTTTTATTGCTTCTAAGCTCCCCATAAAAAAGTTACATTTCGTTATTAAATGACTCATATGGAGTTGATATGTCATTAAACAGACAAATCAATCAATTATCCTTCCCACAAACGACTACTTTGTGCAACGGACTCTTAAGAGTTTGCTTTTCCGACTTCTACCATCTTAGCTGCTTCAGGATTGAGGGTTAACCGTTTACTTTCCCAAATATACTCATAAACTGCTCCTCTTAATTCTTATATTACTTACTATTCTTATAACAACCTCTTTCAGTAAACCTCTACGTTGAGTGGCTCTTAGGCGTTGTATAATATAAAAATTAATAAAACCAACGAAAGATGATTTCCTCGCATGGTTGTTGCAGTCTTCATCTTGCAGATTCAAAGGATCTAACAGCCATGGTGTAGATATGAACAATTCACCTCCATAGGCTCTGTGCTTCTGAACTTTAACCTTCGTGTCGTCACTAGATGCATTTTCGAACCATGAAACATCCCTCTTTGGTTAGCATTTCTAACAATTTAAAGCCGTCGAAAACTTCGCTGAATCATTAATTGAATAAAACAGCATAATAATTATTTCATGATGGAATGCAAACTCTGGTGAAAATGACGTATGTTTAGAGGAATTCTGGGAAAGTATTTGATAACTTAATAAAGACGCAATGAAATTTCATGAATAAGATTTTTTGAAAAATGGAAATGTTTGCATCAAAGTAATATGTAATATAAAATATATGAACCCTGAAATTGATGGAGTTGATCAAACATAACAATATCATATTAACAGGCATCATCCAAAAATGGGAGACTGGGTTTTAGTAGAAACTTGTAAATAATACTGGATATTAATAAACCTATAATTTATTCAGGATTTATTATTAACCTATAATTTATATATTATATTTATAATCCTATATATAATGCAATTTTTTTTTTAATTTTTTAAAACAGTTAATAATATCGTATTTTTTATTTATAATTAAAACTTGATTTGACTGAGAAATGTAATGGGCCAGAGACAAGCCGATAATTAATACTAGAATAATTATAAACCTAAAATAAAGAATTTTTTCAAATTAAAATACAAGCAGGATTTTAATTTTTTCATATTCATAATTTTACAGTCGAAATTAATTGTTTATATAATGCATGGTTGGTTTTTACTACCCGCGTATCACTCAACTGAGGGAGGGAAGTCAGTTTTAGTGGCCCCACGCAGTACTTTGTCACCGTCGCTATCTTATGAATATTTGCTTTATTTCTGCCTACATTTATATACGTTAAAAGTTAAACTAAACAAAACTGATTATTAAACGATGAATTTCTTTCCGGAGGTTTTGAGGTCATTCCGACGACTTTTTGTTTATTTTTTTTTTATCTAAATCTGTGAATAAGATTGATTACGCTAAGTCAAAAAACATTATGTAAAATACAATATTTTTATCCATAATCTTAAATATTCAACGTTTAAACAAGTAAAATCTCAAGTTGATGTAAAAAAAAATGCCGCAAAACATTGTTGATTTGTTTAAGATGGCATAATCTATTATAACAGTTCTTTAATATATATTTACATACACTCCATTTATTTTCAGTATTTCTATTTGAATCTTTCAACCTACATAACATATGATCCATTGTTGTACATTATTAACTTACAATAAAATTTGTATTTTATATGAATACTACCTTATGAAAAATTTAGATGTATTAGAGTGGGTAGAGCGTATCATAGATTCAGGGTGTGCAAAATACTACTGCAACGGCCAAGCCATGCCTCTAATTAAATTTGCAATTATTTCTTTTATTAATCTACTAGCAGCATGGCCCGGCGTTGCCCGTGCTTGATTCAAAAATAGTACGACTAATACAGCAATTGCTATCACTTGACTTAAAATATTTTTGCTCTTCCTTGCCTTTAGAGGAGTGCCCTTTGCCATGCTGATGTTGTTACATGTCTTACTTCTTGCCTATCTCACACTGCCAACTTTTTCTAAGCTCAATAGTAAACATTAAATCTGTTACGAAAAAAGAACTAAACAAAATAAACACAATACGATCCGCTTTAAAAAACCGGAAAAAAACATTTTTAAGGGTTGACCGATTATCGATTTGCACTCTGTTTGGAGGGGGGGTGCTCAGAGTTGAAACTTCACCTGATGACTCCCAATAGCCTCTTCATAAATCCGCTCGGTTTTCCCTAAAAACCGACATGCGGTTCAGACGCAATCTGGGCGTATCGGTTTTGGGGTTTTATCGATTTTCCGCGCTGTTTAGGGGTCCGTGGTCATGAAACTTCTGGACAACACTTCTAATGATAGACTCTAAGCGGGTGTCAAATTTGGTTGAAATGCGATCATTCCTTCTGTAAGCAGATTTTTTTCGATTATCGATTTTTTCGGAACCTGATTCCGAACTCAAAAATCGGGCTCCGTCATGTCCTTACGGCAGCCATTTGCAAACTTGTGTTGAAAACCGCATCGAAATCGGGTGTGAAATGCGGTCTGGGCGAGGTAACAACGCCCACGACAGACACACAGACAGACAACATGAGAAATATAGATAGTAGATAATACAAGAGCTTTTATAAATGTATAATAAATACGGAAAATTTAAAAATATAAAACATGTTAGAATTTTATTTTGTTCATACGAGATTTGATGATAGAGAGTAATTGTCTAAGTCATTTTTTTTTATTTTGTCTGACATAATGATTGTGTCATTTATTTATTTTCAATAATCCTCTCTCACAAATTAATTTCAGAAATTATTATCTTCAGGCAGGGAAAATACATTTTCAGTTCTTTTAGGATTTGAACTTATGAAGCGAGAATGTTTCTGATTTTGCCAATAACAAAGATGACAACCAATTATCGACCTAAACAATTTCAAACGGTAAAAAAAATATAAGAGACAATTTCGACACATTGCTTCTATTTCAAACTTGCCAAATTTGAATTTCACATGCACAAAACAGACGAAGGATGATCATATCACTGACTTGAGTTTAAGCTTTTACATCAAATTCACCGTATTAATTTGCCCAGACAAATGTGATGTGAAACATATAAAAAAATAAAACAATTACTATAAACATTGTGAATACAGAATTTGCTAAATTAATAATTTCATTAGACGCCAAAAGAATTTTTCACTAAAACTTTTCCAGGTTAATCCAAAGAAATATCCATGAATGATTATCTTCTTGAACAAATATGACACGCAAGTACAAGAGAATATTAACAAGGGAAATATATCTCCCAAAAGCTAAACAAAGTATTAACCAAATGGAAACTTCCGTTAAAAACAAAGAAAATAGTATTGAACTGTCATCTGATATCGCTCTAATATGGCAGTGAATACTGAACAATCACTTCAGAGATGAAGAAAAAGCAAAATTAGAAGAAATGGGATTTTACAGAAGGATGCTGAGAATACTAGAGAATTCATTTTATGGAAAATGGAAAGAAAACGGATACGTATTCTTAGAATCAGAAAGAGACAAATAAAATGTCAAAGACACATAAAGAGTAAAGGAGGGTTGAGGGCATATTAAAGGCAAGATGGATGAGCTGATAACCAACCTAACGAACTTGCGTAAATTGTTTAGCGAGATAGCCAAACCAGAAATGTCCCTAAGAGCTAAAGAGTATAGGACGTTGTGGAGAGCTATGATCCCCATGTTCTAAAGGGACACGGAATGTAGAAGAAAAAGTTGATCCATGGTTTCAATAGCTGTATGATAAAGCAAGCAGAGCAGTACTTTTGTAGGGTTCCATATGAAAGTAATTTCACTCATCAGTCTGTGTAGTCCAATGTTGTTTTCTGTCGACAACCCTCTTTAAATTCTTCCTTGAACGCATGACGAAGGCTGCTCTTGAGGAACATTACTACTAAATCGAATGTCGCAATATCACAATATTTCGTTTTGCAGAGATTGTTTAGCAGGTAAGGATGGGTAACTCGTCCGTTTGCTGAAGAATAGGGAGGAGACATCCGCCTATTGAATGCAGATTAATCCCAAAAACAACAGAGAAGCTCATGACGAACGATGGGAAAGGATTTCGGTGCTCAGTAACTTAAAGTAAAGCGCCATATGAAATATCTTCGTACGATTATCACCGGAAAGGACTCCGGAATAGAAATAAAAATTCAAGGTCAAAACAAATGGCAGCTTTCATAAATCTAAGAAAGACCCCAAAAGATAAAAACATTTGCCTGTAACCAAAGATCAACGGGTATTGGCCTACACAGTATTTCTGCATGTCTGTCAATCTTGGACATTAAGAACAGAACTACAGTGAAGAACACAAGCATTAGAAATAAGATTTTCCTGAATCAATCTAGGCATTCACTACGTAAAGCGAATCACTAATGAGGCAGTGTGGCATCCCCATCAGACAAGCATCATGCCTGTTAGATGTCCTCATAAACAGCGTCGAAAATTTGAAATGGCGCGGCCATGATATAAGCACTGTTATTTTTCTACAAGATACGAACTTTGACAAAATGAAAAGCACGAAGGGGAAAAATGAGCTACAACATCAGTGAATGGTCAGAAAGATAATTTACAGAGACATCAGATATTGACGAACAAAAGACATACGTTGGAATTTGGCCAGGTACTCAGGTGTGAGGAGATTCTAGACTGCACTTGATCATGGGATTGATGATCATCATCATCTATAATTGCGAAACAGAATAGAATTAATATTGATAAAGTAATTTCTACATGAAACTAAATGAAGTGTTGGGAGGTCGTGGATCTACAAAGATTTCTATCTCATTTGCTCGTATCACACTTACATTAGTGGGACTATTGTCCTCATCTTTGTCGCCATATTTGTCACACCGTTTCAGCCGTTGTACGCTCCGGCCTTCTTCAGGTGGTTGGAATTTCGAACTGAACCCTTTATTTCGAAATATGGCGACAAAGATGAGGACAATAGTCCGATTAATGTAAATACTGTACATAATACCTCATCTCAGAAATATAGACAGACTTTGCTCGTATCAGTTTTTAAGACTTTGCATTGGATTTGTCTCTATCCAAAAACTAGTTTAAAAAAGATAAAAAGGAAATTGAATGTGTTTTTGTAAATATGCCATCAAGGAATATATATATATATATATATATATATATATATATATATATATATATATATATATATATTAATAGAAAAACATTTGTCTATAGATTATTAAAAGCCAAAAAGTCAGGAATAATTACATACAAATACGTTACAAATGACTGAAACAAAAGATAATAATCCTTAATATTGTTTCTTTTTCTTTTATTTTACAGGCGATACAAAAATCCTTTTCAAGAACACCAGCTCCTCTATACAGTAAGTATACAGAACCATTGAAATATTTTCTCAATATTTTATTAACATTCTCTTATACTAAAGGAAGGAAACTATTTATATTAAAATTAACTACAGATATACCAGGAAACATATCTCACGATACAATTCGTTTATTTTCCCTAAGATTTATTCATATAAATATTTTAAAATGTAATATAATGAACTTCTATTTAAGTTTTGCCTTCCTGAAAGATCGTTAAATGTGAGATTCAAAAACGGAAACATGGCCGAAGAGGGATCATTCTAACGCCGTGCCCATTAGGAAAACCCTTAAAAATCCATATCATATTTCCAGCTTTCATATAGTCTAAATGTCCTCTTTGGAATTATCCCTACGAATTACAATTTGGTATTATAAATACATCCATCTCTCTCTCTCTCTCTCTCTCTCTCTCTATATATATATATATATATATATATATATATATATATATATATATATATATATATATAAAAAAAGCAATGACACAATATATATTACATTATGGATGTAGATTAGGGATGGACTCTCTCATTGATTTCAACGTATGAGGATCAAAATATCTCATTCAGGTTTTATGTTTGTGTTGTATTTGAGACTTAAGTCTCGATAGTTACCAGCTTACAAGTACACATATGTGCAACAGCGAGGATCTCATGACATCGTAGCAGGAAAGTTTAGTGATGCTTTCTCCCGTTGTCTTTCCTCAACATCAGTAAGAGAGAGAGATATAGAAATATAAAAGGAGGCTGAAAGCAGCCGCGCCTAAAAAGATATAGACAACCAAAAAGTGCTCAAGAAAAAATCCAATATGTAGAGCTAAGATTTTTAAGAAAAGGCTAAAAGGCGATCCTACTTCGCAACCCGAGTTTCAACGGCAAGTTCTCCTCAGGCGAGTTGCAGGAAGTACAAGCTGGAAAATACTACAAAATATCAGAACACAGAAAATCTGAGTACCAGAAATGATGGGGCCAAATACGAAGATATTGGAGGTATAATATTTATTAATTTTTATATCACTCATCCGGAATAATAGGTACCTAAAAAAATATTTATTTAAATGACTTCAAACAAAAATAATCTCCTTTCTCTTATTTAAAAAACACCATTCTCAGGATAAGTGGCAATAGCTCAGTCAGCAACAGTTACTAGGGATTCTGCCCGATTTTACCTTCCTTATGGTGCTTACTTGCTTACACAAGTGCATATGCCAGAACTCTCTTTGTATTTGTTCTGCTATATTGAAGTAGTTTGCTGGCTTGTATATCCTTCCAACTTGATTAAGCAGACCTTGCGGTCGAAGCCCGTGTTGCGAGATAGACGACTATTTTAGCAGTGCGCGCGTGAAGAACATGGAGAGGGGAATTAACAAGAGATAACAGATAAATGACATCCATTAGACATGGCACGTGGAAATAGAACAGTCTAACCCGGTGAATGAAATAAAAGGTCCAGTTCGACATTCCAACCAACTGAAGAAGGCCGGAGCGTACAACGGCCAAAATCTTGTGATAAATATGACAACACATATGAGGACAATAGACCCAATAATTTTAATAGTATATATATATATATATATATATATATATATATATATATATATATATATATATATATAGTGATTTTCCAAGCGTAGGTAAGCCCCTAGTCGTAATTGTTCTAGCGAGACAAGCTTACTAACCATTACACCACCTCGAGGTGCCCCCATACACACACACACACACACACACACACATATATATATATATATATATATATATATATATATATATATATATATATATATACATATATATATATATATATATATATATATATATATATATATATATATATATATATATATGTGTGTGTGTGTGTGTCAGTGACAAGATATGCGCTTGAGTGTATCAGTTCATTTTCCTGAGCAGTTTTTCAAGTAAATATCATTTTTCTCGGTTTTCATTCTTTAAATCGATGTTTCCACCGCTTTCGACTTCGCCATTCTTTGATTTCCATTCAATTTTTCCAATGTCGGAGCATAATCCTTTGGCTTAAATTTTCTCTATCATAGTCCTCATTTTTCCAGTGCGAATTCAAGTTTTTTCTCCCTATAAAATCTTCGAATAACATCTCTTTGTCCTCCCGGAGAACTTCTAGTTCACCTTATCCATGTATTGAACTTGTGACCTTACAGCTCGTCAAACAGATTTCACCAGCGCCTCGTACACTCTTAGGTCACGAGTACAAAACATTGATCATGCGTGCATGTGAGAAGTTATATAGGCAGTGTCAAGAAGTCAGTTCCCTGAACTCACAAGAAAAGTCATCGTTCTTGCAGGGTTGGCGTAGTGAAACGAATGCTACCTCAGATCAAGTTTCGAATTACATGACACACATCTGAACAAGATCGACAGAAATAACGGAAAACATTATACAGTAAGACCTGAAAACATCTCGATCCAAACAAACATGTACTCCCTGCCAAATTCAGGTTATTCGATGTCAGGTTTTTGTATAATTCTGATGAAGACATATTATAGGAATTATTACATATTTTATGTTATAGAAAAAAGATATGCTTGTAGCGTATGTATTGTCTGCGCGGAAAGTGAACACAGGCCTCGTCTATGTGTTCATGTTCGCACTATTACATCACGGCTCTTCATTTTCATATGAGAGGATATTGTACAGCATTCGCATCCATATACGAAGATTGATATTACATAAGCGTTCATTACTATTTTCTTTGTTTCTAACGAACGTTTTTCTTTCTAACTATTAATAGCGTCTAGCATGCATGCCATGATCGTTCATTAGATTGGTATAAAATGTTGCATGATAAACCAATCGCTTCATGGACTATTGTGATGTACGATGATTTTTTCAGTGAGTATCATTTTGCAATAATAGAATTTATACGAATTAATTCAGAAGAAAATGACAAGTCTTTCTTTGCTTTAAATCACTCAAATCAAAACATTAGTGGCGAATTTATTCCAATTTCATTTTTCAAGAAGAAAAAAAAATAATTAAGCTCACATTTTTAAAAAATTTCTTATCAACAACCAAACTGGATTCTATAGCTTTGTTGCCACCCAACACTATAGAAGGCAGTCTTTCCTGCTATTTACCCATGTCTGGACGGGAAGAAGATGTATTAGCGCTTAAATGAATGTAATGGATCCGATTGAAATTCGAACTCGGCTCGGATTGAGGAATCGTAGAGCCGAGTGGCAAACAGTCTAGGAGAAGGAAAATCTCTGAATTCAAAACCGGCCTGGAAAGGGTTCATCTCCGTCAAACCATTTTGCCCAAGAAACACCTCTTCTACTGCGGCTGTGGTACACATAGTTCCCCTGCGTTCCTACGGGTCACGGAATAAACAAAATCATCACCTCGCCTTTTTTTTAACCATTACCTAAAAAGTTAACAACAACCAAATCTAAATTTCTTTAAACTGTTATTCTTCCCTAAAAATCGAATTCATTTTATTTATGCCGGTACTTCGCAGAATGTAAGAAATAATGGATTAAAAACATTGATTATATAAATCATTTTATTTTTGTCTAGCAGGGGTAAGACACGGTAGCGTGTTTTTTTTTTCTTTTTTTTTTTTGCCGAGTGTTTAACGGTTGGCTATTTTGATAGAGAAATGCGCAAACCAACTTTGCCGAGTTCATTATCTTCACTTTCTCATCAATAACGTCAAGAAATATATGAATATGTCTCTGCTCCAAGCCTGCCTCCCAGGTAAGAGATAAATACCAAGATCAATTAGGTGCTTTGTACCTTCAGGTGCCACACCCTCTATTAGAAGGACATTATGAATTCAAAACTAGTGAAGTGTGATAAGCTCCGTCCGATAATCTTGTTCCATCAACAACAGCGTTGTTGTATTTGTTTTAAAGTGAGGCTCACCTTGTATACGGCCCGGCGATCATTCGTGGTAGAGGGTTACTTTAAGGAGCAGTTTATACGGATAGGATGGGAAGATAACGGAAACTCTAGATCTGAACTATTTTAGGTTATAGTGATCGTGGTAACAACCTCTTGGGAGTCGGTTCAACAGTGTTCGCGGGAAGAAGCTGATTTAGTGTAACTTACTTCTCACCGGTGGAATACGGAGTAAATATGGGTCGTTTACTACAATGCAAGTGTCGTGACGGGTCCTATCCGTGAAAGTTAGACCTGGCAAAAGCAAGGAATATACTTCGTCCGAGCACTTTCCATAGCAGTAGTGATAGAGTAGCGAGAAGCGCGTCCCTTTCCGTCAATCAGAGAGAGTTTGGAGTGTGCAAAATAATTTGTTCCCCACAAGGACTCGGAGACGCTTTTGAACTCAAGACTGCAAACTTGGGACTGAGCAGCTCCCATCCAAATATCACAAATGTACTCCATTTTCGGTAGGATCTGGTAGACGATAGCATGAGGAGTCAAGTACTTACTGGAGCGGTACAGGGAACAGGTAATTTTACCTGCACATTTAGTGAGGGGCGGTATGTACGAGTTCTACTTGAGATAAGGTGAGAATATGAGGCACGGCAGCCATTGCTGCATTACATATGGCGTCCCTACGACCATAAACTCGTAAAGAGACAAAAAGTTTATTTGATCGGGAAATGGAATCAGCAGGGAAAATCAAATAACGTCCGATTGTGTAACGTTAAATTTTAGTGGTAATAGTTGATATTTTTTTTAGAATGACGTCTATTATATTTAGACATTCTTTTGTAGTTAGAGGCGTTTATTATATTACTTTTTCTTGACGCGTATCGTACGTATCGAATTTGGTAAATTTTCATATATTTTTTTAAAAAGACATCTTCGAACACAGCCATGAAGTACTGGTCGTATTCCGGAATTTACAAAAGTCTTCCAATAAGCAACTTACAACCCATAGGCCAGTATCATTCAAAATATCTATTAGCAGATAGCGCTTGGAATGAAAATTCATTTGAAAAATTCTCTTACATACCAAGTTCTAATGTTCGCATGCAAGAAAAATAAAATATAAAGA